CGTTGCCAATAACAGATCCAGTATGGCATTCCCCCTAGTGGGACCGTGTACCTCCTGTGTCAGGTGGAGGTCCTGTACACAGGTTAGAAACCTGCGTGAGCAGTGGGACTTTGCTGTCTGTGACTCCCAGCAGATGTCCGGGTAGTTTAGGTCCCCCATGACTACCGCCTCTTTAGCTTTTATGGTCTCCGAGAGTTGCCTCAGGAGCCCCGAATCTCTTTCTTCCCCTTGATGTGGGGGTCTGTAGCAGACCCCTACCACCAAATCCCTTTCTCCTTGCCCCCCATGTAGCCTAACCCACAATCCTTCTACCTCCTCATCCTTTGATTCCATCTTGATGAGGGTTGACGTATATTGCTCACTGACATAGAGCGCAACCCCTCCCCCTTTCTTCCCCACCCTGTCCTTTCTGTACAGTCTATAACCCTCAATATGTACTGCCCAGTCGTGGGATGAATCCCACCAGGTTTCCGTTAGCCCCACTAAGTCGTAGGTGTTTTGTGCAAGCAGGAGCGCTAGTTCATCCTGCTTGTTCCCCATGCTCCCAGCATTAGTATATAGGCACTTGAGCCCTGCGACTGGTGCCTTTGCTGCCCCCCCGCTCCGAGTCCCAAGGGGCCCTTTGTTTCTTACCTTCTCGTTTCTTACCTGTGTCGTAGTGCTGGCCTCCCTATGGCTTTCAGGTTCCCAATGCTCTCTTTCTTCAGGCTGGGCTGTCCTTGTGGGTGCCACATGGTTTGGTGGTCCACATGTGCAGGTAAAGGTGTAAAGGTTTAATTGCTTATTAAATCCTGTCACACCTTTACCTGCACATGTACAGGGGCCCTCATTCTCACATTTGATATGACATATAGTATCTAAATTAAGAATTTTTGCCTCAGCCTTCATTTTTACTAATTTCACATTTTGTTCACCCAAATGACATGACTCAACAACTCATATTGGTATAGATCAGTTAACAAGTCTGAAAATGTAGTTGATACATACAGCCCAGTTGCAGAGAGATCCCTGATGAGAGGTACTGATTTTCATGTACTCTGCCACTGATCTCAAAATAAGTAGATATTTTATATTTTTGTGTAGTAAAACAATTGACGATATTATCTTTTAAAATTCGAAAATAAAACTATGCTACTTGGCCTCAAAAGGAAACAAGTTTATATAGTTTCCAAATAATACTAAGAAAAAGCCTTAATGCATTTTAACCACATTCAGATATGGTCATATTTCCCAGGGGATATTGGAAAACTCTAATGCTTGCTCTACCATTCTGCTTGGTGAAAACCAGACTTTTATATGTTTACTTTGATAAATTATATTTTGTAGTTATGGTCCCATTTCTCATTTTTACAGCACACAGTAAAGATCATTCTTACAGAAAATCCACCCTTTCGCCATCAGACCAACACCTTGTATACCCCAGTAACAACTCTGAAATATGCAGATCCAAATGGAAATCTACCTATTGATAGCTTCTACAAAATGGTTTTTCATCATGACAGAATCTTCCATGCAAGTCTTAACTTTTTCAAACTGCTGAGATGGAGCAGCAGAAAGAACATTGCATCAACTTAGTTGATATATCAACATTGGCTTATTTTGAATTTAAAGTTTCCAGTATTTTGAAGATAAATGCTCTTGCCAGATCTGTTGTTAATAATTGTGGTTATCTTCTTTATGTACAGTTGTGCCTCGTAAAAATATTAGACTTATGACCATCAATATTTTGAATGTCTGTAGTCAACATTTATTGGAATTAAAAGTGAAACCTCCTGAGAGCAGTACAAAAAAATCTTATTTGTAGAACCTTATTGTAATATATAAGTGCTTTGCTAATAGTCTCAGGGGTTTAGGTTGTAGCCGTGTTGGTCTAAGGACATAGGCAGACAAGGTTCCTTGGGTGAATTTGGTATCTTTTATTAGACCAACCCAAATAGTTGGAGAATATTTATTAAGCAAGCTTTCGGATTCAAAAACCCTTCGTCAGGCTAAGGAAGTTTCAGCAGTTGGTGTGCGCTCTTCCTAGTGATTCTTGAATCACCTACTACCACCTAGCTCTCTAATACTGTATTTTAGAGTGTTAGAACAAGCTTGTTGTTAATAATATAAAAGATGTACAGATTTTTAAAATTGTCTTAAAATATAGTAACTGGAAAGTTTAAACAACTGATGCGTTTTAGTTTTTGTATAAATAAAAGAACATTGAATGTGTTATTTTTTTAAATGATGCTGCTACTCCTAAAGGGTCAAATTCAGCTTTGATATAATTTAGTAGGAGTCAGTGCAATTATCACAGAAATTAATTTGGCCCAAGAAGCTTAAACACAATGCTTTGTGTATTTATAATCACTTTTTAATAATATCTTATGGTTATTTCCTTTTTTATTAGGAATACATCAATATAATGAAGATTTTCCAAGCTGGCACCTAAAGCTGGAGACTCTTAAAAATCCATATTTAGTTTTCTAGATAAATGCATTTAGATTTTCAAAGGCGCTGAATACATGCATCTCCCACTGACTTAATTGGGAACTTAAGATGTTCTCTGTATTTGAAAACAAGACTGTTTTTACCTAGGTGTTTAAATATAGGTTTAGCAACCTACAGTTTCAGGCACCCGGATTTGAAAATGCTGGTCCTCAGCTGTCCTACATTTACTGCTATATTTGAATACCTGTAGTAGTCTGTTAAATTATGCCAGTTCCACTGACTAGTTCTGACACATCCTTGGGTTCCGCATACAAAGTCAGGTTTTCTTGTTTTATTTTTACACCTTGGCTACACTGTTAGTTTTTGAAAGGCGATATTTAGAATCTAAAGCAAGTTCCTCAACAAACTGGAATTTTGAAGTTGGGTAAATGTTAAAAGTAATTCCCTATAGAGTGCTCTCTTAGACTTCCATAAAATTCAGCTTCCTGTACAAACTCCTACCATTTGCTTTTATGTGATTGGGCTCTTGTGGATTAACAGTGGTGGTGATTCTCTTTTGATTTTTCCCCAGCTATCACTGATCAAGGAGTCTTGCAGAAGAGACTCCTGGCCCTGGGCCTTATGTGATAGCGAGGGGCCAGTTTTCTGGCCTCTTAAATACAATGTCCTGGGTTCCAGATGCTGCTGTATCATGGGCAGTAACCACTGTCGAGTCTCACAGGGCAGACACTTGGCCTCAGGCTCTATATAGTACAGGCCCTTGGCTATAGGCCTGCTGTTGGCGGGCTGTAAATTCAAGTCTCTTCTCTGTGGTGTCTTGCCTGGATGAAGTGCTGTCCCATCTGTGACTGTGACTTTCTTTTCTGCCCACCTGAACAGAGTGGGATCCAGCTCCCAAATCTGCCTGACTGCTGCCACAGCAGGAAAGCACCACATTGTAGGGCCTGGTTTGCAGCCACAAGCCTCCTCAGAGGTGTGGGGGCCACAAGCCAGGCTTCCCCTCACCCCCCATTTGGGGTCTCTTCAAACCATAAGGGTGGAATGCTGTATTATTGGAGGAGTTTAAAATTATCCTGTGAGTTGGCTAGATGGTGCCTTGTGGCTGGGGCTTGGTTTGCTCCCCTGGGATCTTACCAGTCCAAGGGGATGTGCTGGGAGGTCCTAGCAAAGATCCATAGACGTGGCATAGCAAATTGCTTGTTGATCACCCAAGCACAGAGTCCTGAGTTCAGCTCAACTGTGTTCCTTTCTCCTCCCCCTCTCCCTCTTTCCTGGCCAGTAGGGTTTTTTTTCCTTTAATTTGAATTTTCCCCAGTCCCTTGAGTTATCACTAGTCAAGGAGACGCCTAGTCCTGGGCTTGCTGGCTTCCTGACCACAAGGTCCTGAGTTGTGGATTCCACTGTGACTTGACCATACTAGGCACCTTAAAACTAGCATGTCCATGGCACGTTGGCTTCTTCAACCTGGCCAACAACCCATCTGGGAGAAGGAAAATTCCCAAAATTCAGTCTCACTGCCTGGCACACAATATCTGTTGATTGGTGATAATGTCCCCATTTAAAATTGTGACCATTGTCACAGACCAACTGGCTAAATTAAATATTGCTCCAAATCTGGATCAGATGTGAGAGATATTGACATATTCCCAAGCATCTTGCAGTTATCCTCTAGAAGAGGAAGAGATCAAGCCTGTGCAGTAGGCCCCACAGCTGCAGTTAAAAAAGCAAGTGGAAGAGTGAGTAATGAGAACTGGTACAATAAATGCTGAGAGCATTGCAGGCAGGAGAGAAATAGTAAACCTCTTGGAAATAAGGAATGGGCAAGCAGGTTGATTACAATAAACACAAGGGAAGGATAGTAGTGTAAGAGAACAAGGAGCAGGATATAGGATCTTCTCTAATGCAGAAAACAGAAGAGAGTTGGAGTAATATTGCATGGCAGCCTTAAAGGCAGCGTGACTGAGTTCACAAATGACAGATTGACGGCAGCTAAGTTTGTGATGCCGGAAGGAATGTTGAACATATGCGCAAAACAAGGGGGCTGCAGGGAAGAAGAGAAAAAGGCTGCGAGAGCGCCTCTAGAATCCAATAAGAGCAATGAGAAACTGGGTGTGAATGGACGTTAGAAAAAGAAATGAAGGGTTTAAAGTAATGTCGGAGGAATGAGTTGGGAGTGAGGAACAAGGATGGAGAGAAGATACTGGAAATGGCTGAAAACTTGAATATGTTCATTGCTAATACTGCATGTGTGCGCTAATTGTCACTTACACAAATGGTCAGAACAAAAGTCAAATTGTTCTGGTCTTGGGAGCAGGTATAAGATGTGCAGAACAGATTCCCTACAAGTATACTGGTGTGGGGCTGCTCATGGGAAATGCACTAAAGTAAAAAACGTCACTTTGTCGGCAACGCTCCCATTCTTGATCCCTCAATTACATGCAACAGAAATCCAAAAGTTTGTCATAGTGAAAGTCATAGTCAACAAATGTTTCAGCTTTATGCTTTTTTTAAAATACAGTGCAAACTGTTTGCCAAAAATGCCTTTAAGTTGGAACAAACACTCACAGCATCAGTTTACTGAAAAGGTTTTCTAAAAGGTAAGTTCCCCAGGGAAATTCCTGAGAGTAGTGCCTAGAAAGCTAGGTTCAGTGTGGTCCTGGTAGGAAAATACTGTATTCCTTGATATCATACATCTAAAAACTGGGGCAGCTAATGGTACTGTTTACGGCCGGGGCATCCAAGTCCCTGGGCTGCGAGGCTCTTTCCAGGCAGGAGCCACAGGGCCAGCAGCAGGTCCAAAGGCAGCAGCAGCAGAACAAGCAGGGTTGTGTTAGCACAGCTCTCCGCACCCTCCCACCTGCGGTGGCCATGTCCAGCCCCGGGCAGGGCCCTGCTGGCTACCACCAGGTCCTTTGAACGATGCGCGGACAGGCGATGGGTGAAGACGAGCATTTGCGGCCAGCTCAGGCTCGTTCCCGCCTGGACGAGGCCCCACCCTGCAGGGCCCAAAGGCCAGCGGGGGCTGCTTGGAGTCAGCGGTGCCGAGCTGTGCCGCAGGCCCCGTCGCTGCGCCCGGGGGGAGGGGTCTGGCGGGCGGGACCCGGGACGGAGCCGAGCGCCCGAGGAGCTTCCTGCTACGCGGCGCCCGCTCCCGCCATCCGCTGCTCCCAGCCGCTCCGAGGAGCCTCGCGGCCCCGGCCCGG